GTGTTGTTGTTGTTGTGTGTGTGTGTGTGTGTGTGTGTGTGAGTGTGTGTGTGTGTGTGTGTGTGTGTGTGTGTGTGACGTCATCACTAGCAACAGGTGAGATTGTTGGTCGGGCCCGCCACAGCTGCAGGTGGCGCCGGCGGTCCGACTTTATGCGCTTGGCCGACGCACCTAGGTGAGAGGTGTATCCTGAGCCAGAAGGTTTATCACTCCTTATTTCCTGTCTTTCGTTATATTGATTTTAATTTCAAAAGTGACTGGCGTAATACATTTCCAATGGAGGGAGTCACTTTTGGGGGTCTTTGTTCCCTTACGGGCGCAAATGACCTCATGGCCCGGCGGTTGTCACCTGGCTGGCCGGTGGCTCTCTACCTCACGCGAACAGTATCTGACCGCAGGACTCAGGAATAGAAAAGTGTATACATTCGACCTTAGCTTAGATGCCGCAACCGTCTTATCTAAGCAAGTTTTTATCTCAGATCTTTTTTTTTTATATTACACTGCATTGATAGAAGGGAAATTATGATCAACTCATTGTTTTTTGTAGTCCCTTATTTCTTTTAGACCGGACTCTTTTAGGGGCACCAAGTCATTTTTTAACTCCTGAAAGAAATTATAATTACTGGTTCATGTAAACAAAAGCTCCGCCATCTCCTCTCACCAGGCTGGGCTCATATTCAGTCATTCAGACTCATTTCGGAAGGAATAAATCCATGCAATAACACACGATCAGCGTCGGATTGACGTAATTCGGAACCGCCACAAGTCAAGCAGAAATGGAGAAGAAACCGCCATTACTACAGACGGAGAGTCTGGAGAACAGCAGGGAGTCGATACAGGCGGGTTCAACATCTAAAGACGACGAATTAGAGAGACTTTATGAAAGTAGGAAGACAACGGGTACGTAAACGGTGATTTTCTAATACTGTTTTGTAGTAAAAATGTATAATTAAAGCACTTTCTGTCGATTATATCCTAGAGTGGGAACCCAAGGAAAATACCCATCAAAGCGCCTAAAAACAGCTGGAATTTAGTAAAACACAGGCATTAACTCTGCTAGGAAAACAGGTTATATAGACCTTTTTTAATACAATTTAGGGAATTTTTCACTCATTATATATATATGTCGTATCATCTATTGTTTATTTCTTTTTTACCTGCAAAATTCAATTAGAAACAGTTTGGCAGTGTTGGCATCTGATAATTCAAAATTTGTAATTCTGGTTTCTTAACGTTAATTGGACATTGATTATCCTATATTCCACTGCGCTGGAGGATAGACTAATAATGTGACGTCATTGTGTGGTGTAAACATGCAGAAATCCCGTCACTACCGCCGCCGCTAGCTGCGTGTTTCCGCCTCGCTAACGGTCGTTTTCATTTTAAAAAGTCGATGCCCCATCACTGATGTCAGTGCCATGTCTGAGCATATCATATACATTGTTACCTCCATGAAAAATGGAGGTATTGTTTTTGGCGTGTCTGTCTGTCTGTGTGTTTGTATTCCGCACATTTGTAGTCAGCATAACTTCATAACGCCTTTATGGATTGTGATGATATTTGGTATGCTGGTAAGTCTTAGAAAGACGAAGGTCAAGGTCAAATATGGGCCTCCTGGTGGATGATCTTGGTACTGTCGTACTTGGTACTGTATCTTTTGTCCTGAACATGTTATGGTCTTGGATTTTTGGTCTCAGATAGATTTTCCTGTCAGGAGTAAGTGGTGTAGGTTTGGTCCCCCTACCAGCTTGTTCTGGAACTGCAGGAGACCTTCGGGCGAAATGTTTGAAAGCCAATAAGTCCAGATAGGAACAACGTATTTTCATAATTTTTGGTAGGTAGGTAGCAGAGAGAGATGTACATAATTAAATGCAAATTATGCAAATGAGGACTTTATTTGCATAATCAATGAGGAAACTCTAGCATTACAGTGTTTTACATTATAGTACTTTCATACATGTAATGTATGTAACCCATGGCAGATGGAACATCAACAGATTTCAATTATGCAAATGATGACCTAATTTGCATAGTTAATGCGAAAATTCTATGATTTCTTAATGGTGAATGATGGGAATGTCATACTTGGGACATCTGTAAGTTAATCAAAAGTTAACATCACGATGCATATATTATGTTAATACAGAGGTCAGCACTGTAATGCGTAATTAAAGAAGAAATTTGCATTTACATATCAAGCCCATATTTTTTAATGGCGGTATGAGATCTTGGAACTCTTGTTTTATTTATTGGCTCGGCTGGTACAACACAGCCAGGGCAACCCAACTAGCTTGATGCTATTATTAAGGGCTTGTCCTGGGGAAAAGTACATACAAGTGACATAAGTTCTTAAAAACGTCATAATTACATAGGGTCAACAAATTTTGGTCATTATTATATAAAAATTACATACAATACAATTACATACCGTAAGATTGGTGACAATAGAATATGTACTGTCTTATACAGAAAACTGGTCTCCAAGGGAGAGCCAGACTTTAGCTTTGAATGACGCTAGGGATAAAGCTGTCTGTGTGTCCTGTGGAAGAGAGTTCCACAGTTATATTTGTTTGTTTGATTTTTTCCACAGATGGTGCTAAAAACTGCCGCGAGTTCTTCACCTCGCGTCCGAAGGGCCTGTTAACGTTGGCCGTCTGCATTGGTGTCATCGTTGTCGTTACTGCTGCAACTGTGGTAGCCGTTATCCTCAACCCACACAGCGCACCGAGGTTTCACAACGAGGAAAATACGACGACATTTCCAGTCTACTCCACAACGTCGTATACGTACCTACCTGTGACGTCATCTACCCACCTAATAGTGACGTCAACAACTTCATCTACTGTGACAATAGGTAATACTAGTATAGAGAACGCCTGCGCGAAACCAGTTATGTATTGCACATGTGCACAGCACTTCGGCAGTATGTCTTGTTTTGTTATTTTACCTCCATGAAATATGGAGGTATTGTTTTTGGCGCGTCTGTCTGTGTGTCTGTCTGTCTATGTGTGTGTGTTTGTGTTTCCCTACATTTGCGACCAGCATAACTTTTGAACCTTTGGATGGATTGTAATGATATTTGGTATGTGGATAGGTGTTGGGTAGGCAAAGGTCAAGGTCGATTTTGGGCCTCCTGGTGACTGGCCTTGGTACTGCAGCAGAACTTCCGGGTTTTGTATCTTTAGTCCTGGACATGCTATGGTCTGATTTTTGAGTGCTGAATAGCTATTTCTGCCAGTAATAAGTGGTGTGGGTTTGGTCACCCTAGCAGTTTGTTCTGGAACTGCAGGAAGGTTTCTGGCGAAACCTTTCAGAGCAGATAAATTCACAAAGGAACACTGTGTTTTTATGGTTTTTGGTATGTGGGTAGCTTAGACAGAGATCTATATTATTGGAAATTATGCATATGATGACTTCATTTGCATAGCTAATGAGGAAATTCTGTAATTCCAGTGTTTTACATCATTGGACATGGGTACATGTAATGTTTATAATCTATGGCATAATCTATCACCAGATACCATTTATGCAAATACGGACCTAATTTGCATAATCAATCTGAAAATTCTATGAGTCCTTAGTGATAAATGATGGGAATTTCATACTTGGAAGATGTGTAAGTTAATCAAAAGTTAACGATTTCATATATTATGTTAATGTAGAAGTCATTTGCATAATTAAAGAAGAAATTTACATTTACATGTAAAGTCCATATTTCATTGAGGTATAAAATCTCGGAACTCTTGTTGGTTGTCTGCGAAGAGCCCCATACGTATATATACAAAAAGTGAGCGATACATTTTTTGTTGAGATATAAACTGTTTTCCAAACTCAGTCTTCATTGGCTATCATAGCTAAGTACCGTAAAAAAGTATGATAAATTCCGGTGAGTCAAATTCTTTTGAGTTGGAGAACAAATTATTTCTCACTAAACATGTCTTCTTTTTGTAGTATGAGTTTCTAGTACACAGGCAATATAACAATGATAACTTGGCGGCGATGTTGCGACCTTTTCTCATTGTGTTATTCACCAACTGTGATTTATCTTAATAAAATAATTTTATCACCCATTTGCAGATTGGTGGAGTGAGTGGATCCTCTACATCAGAAAGTATTTCCAACATGACAAAGATGCACGAGCCGCCATGGGTTTGGAAGAGCGCTATTCTGACAATGAGGTAGTGATGACACTGCTGGAAGGCCGGTTCTTCTGGCCATTTGTGTGTCGGTACTGGAAAGAGAGAGCCGGCCTCCCGAACAGCTTGGCCGGTGCTGTAACACACTGCATACTGCATGGGGTTTCAAGTGATGAGTACATGAAGACACACGGCTTGGCTACGTACAGGGAGGTCTTCCAGTCCATTCTGGACGCGTTAGAAGCACTGTACATGTCAAACACGACACAGGCCCACAAAGACAACGATCACACACATCTATCGCTGTCCGGGGTTACTCTTTCTGGCGATGATGTTGAGGCGCTGGCCAGCCTCTTCCCGTACCTGAGAGGACTGTTCAGCCTTCAACTTATGGGCTGTGGACTTTCTGCAGAAGCAGCGACGTCAATGGCTGGACAGATTCACCAGCTGAATGCACTGAACACTTTCTATCTTGGCAAGAACATGATTGGAGATGGAGGGATGGAAGCGATTGCAGAGATGTTTCCTCATCTGAAAGAACTCAGGACCTTAGATATCAGGGAAAACTCAATAACATCTGTGGGAGGAAAAACCATGGTCGAAAAGCTAGTTGAGCTACAGGAGCTACGAAATATCAACTTGGCGGGAAATGAGCTGGCACTCAGCCTCTCATCATTGGCAAAGGCGTTTGACAACATGACGCGGCTGGAATCCGTCCGCTTGTGGCCCATCACATGTAGGGCAGACTCATTCCGCGAGGCGGCGCTACAGGTACGCGATGCTGTCCACACGCTTAAGGGCAAAGTGTTCAGCTACTTTGGCATGCAACGGCATTTGCTATATGATGGGGCTAAACATGCTGCAGGTTCATCGAGACTGGACACAGCCTGGCAAAGATCTCGGGTAGAACAAAAGTTGACGTCAGGGGTTTACATAAAAAAACGGGT